GGCCCTCTAATTTGGGGGCCACTCCCAGACCAGCCAGGCAGCACCTAAGTCCTGGGCTCCCCTCCCCCTCTTCTCCCTCCTCCCCAGGCCTCAGCTCTCTTCGAAGCACCGGAACAACCTGGATCCTAGCTGATTGGCACTGGGAACAGCACATCCTTGCTGGCTAGTGGGAGGTTAGAGGGCAGGGCTTGGAGGAGGCAGCAGGAGACAGGGGAGGGCAGGCATGGGGGGCAAGGCAATAAGGAAGAGAAGGCATTTCCTGAGGCCTCAGGCTCCAGAGGAGGCCAGTGCACAGCTATCTGAGCTTCACAATAATGAGTGGTGGACAGCACTGGACCGGTCATAGTGGGCACTCAAGAAGGGGTGGGGTTGGCAGGGGAGGCAGAACCTGGCCCCCATCAGCATGAGCCTGAGGGTGACCAGGGCCCTCTTCCAGCATGCTCTGCATCTCTGGGACACCACCGAACAGGCCCCCAAAGCCCCACCCCAGGCAGGGCAATCTAAGCCCATTGCCACTTTGTAGGCCGATGTGTAGAGAAGGGCCTGGAGTTACCCGCAGCTTGTCCCTCCACAGCTGGCTTACAGCTGTTCATGTTCTGGCTTCAAAGCTAGAGGGAGAGGCCTAGGAGAGAAGCGGGGCACCCAATGAACAGGTTCAAGCCATTGGTCCCCTTTAGGCACAAAACTTGTCTTTGGTTTGTCTCTGGAGGGCTGAGCCTGGGAAGTGGCCCAGTGGGTGAAGCTCCCAGGGGGTCAAAGGAGCCTCTACAGAGGTGGCAGCAGTGAGAGTGCCCCCTGAGCTCCAGCCCACCCAGCTGCTGGCCCCTGAGCCTCTGGGGCTTAGAAAGAGCAGCCAGCCCAGAGTTCCAGGGGCCCTCTGCCAGTCTCCTTCTGGGACCTTCTCGGCCTTCTGGCCCTGCTAGGTCTGGCTGGCTCCCTGCTCACTCCTGCCTCAGCAGATCACTCCCCATGTCTGTTCTTTCTGGTTCCCCACTGCTTTCTTGGGTCTCCCCTCTGCCTCTCTGTCCCATCCTTGAGTGCAGAGTTAGTCAGCCTTGACTTCCACTGAGAGTGCACGTGCTGCTGGACCAGAAGCAAGATGATGACTGAGTGTGATGAGTGATCAGAAGGAAATAGTGCCCAGCCGGTGTGGCTCAGTGGTTGAGTGTCAACCCATGCACCAAGAGGTTGCTGGTTCGATTCCTGGTCAGGGCACATGCCCAGGTTGTGGGCCCAGTCCCCAGTGGGGGGCATGCAGGAGGTGACTAATTGATGTTCTCTCTCATCAATGTTTCTATCTCCCCCTTCCTCTCTCTCTAAATCAAATATATATATATATATATATATATATATATATATATATTTATATATATATTTTTTTTTAAAAAGAAGGAAATAGTGCAGGTTTACATACTAGCATGGGTACGAGGGCACGGGGAGGGCTTCCAGGAGGAGGCATCTCTCTTGCCTCCAGCCCCTCCTTGGAGTGCTCACATAGGACTCTGGCAAAACCAGCCCAGCACAAGGAACCTTGCCCAAGGGAGCCCCTTTATACTCCACACACATCAAGGTCACTTCTCGAGCAAGTGACCTTGCCCTGAACTCAGCTGAAGTCTCTGAAAGGGCCCTCAAGGCTCCCAGGTGTTGCAGCCTCTGAACCCAAGCCTATGTCCTAAAGTTCATGGCTTTATGTGGGCCTCACTCATAGCTGACAGGCCTCATCAATCCCCAGTCTCTGCACTCTCCGGGGCCGGGCGGGGGAGGGTGAGGGCCAGGCCCATAGTCACGAAGGGGCAGCCCCACCCACCTCATGGGTCCTTTGAGGCCAGAGTTGGGACATCCTGGAACCCTGAGGCAGAACACATAATTTGTGCTCAGGGGGACCCTCTGGGTATAGGGGTCTGGGACCATTCCCCAAGAGACTCAAGCTAACAGGCCCAAGGGGGAGCTGAGCTGCTGCAGAGTGGCCGAGCCTCCACTGTCTAGAAGCTTCCCAGTGCCGATGGCCAAGGTGTGGCCAGTGAAAGCTGGCACTCTCTATGCCAGAGCTTTTTTTGACCTTCCCCTGAGGACATAATCACACAGTGGCTCCCCGCCCAGGGCTGCCAGGGCTGTAATTTCAGGGCCCAATGGGGGCTCTGTGCAGGCTGGCCTACGACTAGCTATCTTTAGAGAGGCATGGTCTGGGGTGTGGCCAGATGAGAGATGGTGGACAGGGGGCTGTGCCACAGGGAGGCATCCATCTGTGGGACCCCTTAGAAACCTGCAAGACACAGAGATGCCATGAGATACCCTGGAGCCCCCATGGTCTTCCCCTGGGGGAGGTCAGCCCCCAGGAGCTGTGCTTGGATCTGCGAGCTGCCTGCAGGGCCAGGAGGCTCTGATGGGGGCTGTGGGTGAAGGTGGGCACAGGGGAGGGGGCCGGGCAGCTAGTGTCTCCTGGCCTGGCCCCGGATGGCCGCCATGGTTGAGGAGGCATGGCACAGGGCATACTACCCTAGATACATCTTTTGCCTTCTGCTCCCTATGCTCCTTCCTGGACCTGTCTCTCCTGGACTTGGGAACTGGGGCCAGGTTTGCCATGATTTGAGCTATAAGGCAGCGGGAAGGCATGGAACCAGATGTGCAGAAGGATAGGCAGGGAGACCTGCAAAGGAGCAGGTGGTTGGCCCTCAAGTCGGGGCACTGGGGACAGAGAGGAGTAGGTAGGTTGGAGAATTTGGAGGTCAATGGGCAGGGCTCTGGGTCTGTGGCTGGGAGTAGGAGGTCAGATGTGCAAGTTTCTATCGAGGTCCCTAAGAGGGGACATCAGTCCAGCCCCAGGGAATGCACTACTCTTCCCTGTCCTCATTCTCTGCCCCTCACATTTGTTAGCTTCTGTGTTCCTCTCCCAGTCCCCACTGTTCCACTGTTCTTACCCTCGGTCCTACTCCCACCTCCTACTCCTGTCTCAACCCAGGGACCAGTGAGTGCTTCCCTTCTTGCCACCTGACCCCAATCTCTCCTACTCTGTAGTCACCACCATCACAATTTTCAGTGTCCCCCCAGATTCCCACTGATGGAGCCAGCACCTGCCCTGAAGGGGACACAGCACCCAGCGCCGTGCTGGTGTGAGAGAGCAGAGGATATGGGGTTGGCGCAGAGGTGGAGAGGAGGCAGGCACAAGGTGACAGGCAGGCTCGGTCCCGCCACCAGATATCCACTGCACTACAGTTGCCCTCCTCGCTGGGATACCCCTGGCTGAACTGGTGATCATCCTCCCTCACTGGGGGCACATTGTGCCACCACTGTCCCCTCCCTGCTAGGAGTGGAGCCCCCGGCCTCCAGCTGCAGGCACCCCTAGCCCTGAGCTCCTGGACCTCTTGGGGGATAGTCTGGGCTGGAGAGAGAACCCTCGCCCCAGTCATGTCCTCTTTGCTAGGCAGCCCCACCTAATGATGACAGGGGGTATAAAGACCCAGTCCTCTTGCCCCAACTCAGGACCAGCTCAGCGTCAGAGCACCCGGGGGCTTGGCTGGACCTGCACAGTTGGCTGCAGGCCTGCTTCCCTCTGGGCTCACTCCTGCTCTTGTCCTTCGCTCCCCTCGGTGGTAGCTCCAAGAGCCTCCCAGGGAACTTCCTGCTCGCTAATCCTAACCTGACCAGTTGGCCTCCTGGGAGCCCGATGGCAGGTTTGGGGGCTCTGCTGTCTGTGCCGCCTTGGGCCCAGCTCTTGTCAGCGTGGTCGCCAAAGGATTGGCCTCTGGGGCTGGGTTCAGCCTACCTCACAGCAGCCCCAAGAGCCTAGCAGCTTCCTGTCTGAGAAGTAGAATTAACCTGACCACCACCTGTGAGCTGCCTGCTCCTCCATCCCCTGCCCTCCTCTGCCCCCAACCCCCACCTGGCAGCCATGTTGCCCGACCTTCTCCTTCAGGCCCTCTAGCCTCATCTGCTCAATGGAGGTGAGAGCAGTGGGAAGTGGGGGATTCACCCAGCCTGAAATTCCTGTGCCTCCCAGGGCCTGAACTCTGTGACTGTGGGGAAGGAGGCAGCTGGGGATTGACCGGAGCAGGAGGGGTGGGGAGGAGGGGTCGTGAGAGCTGGGAAAGCAGCAGCCTTCCCCATCAGGGCCAGCGCCTCAAGGGCTGCTGACCTCTGACCCAGCCCAAACAGGAAGTGCCATATCTGTAGGCCTAGGCCGGGTTGGAGAAGGAATGCAGAGATGAGTCCAAAACAAACACTCCACCAGCTTCCCAGGCTTCTCCCCGCCCCCTGCCAGAGTCTGGCCCTTTTCTGTTGAGAACTGGTGGAGGGGGGTGGAATGGGGTGGGGGTGAGTGGCGACAGAATGGGACCAATGTAAGGCTCACAGTTCCCAGGCCCAGACTCCAGCCAGAGGTGGTGGCAAGGCAAGGTCTGTGCAGTGGGCTTGTGGTGTCCTTCCTCCTTCACTCTACCACAGCCACCAGCATGGCAGACGGGCCGGTCCTGCTCTTACTGCATTCTTGGAGCCTATGGCTTGGCTGGCTCCCCCATGCCATCATGAGGTCCCCCACATTGCTCTCCCCATTCTTCTCAGCACCAGGCATGGTGGCATCATGAGCTGTTAAGGCTGACCCAGTAACCCCACCCCAGTCCTGGTGACTCCCCTCACACAGGCAGGACAACTACTCCAGTGATGTCATGGGGCTTCACAGACCCCGTGTCCCCACCCAGCACAGCTGGCAAGTCTTGTCCTCAGAGCTCAGCAGGGCTGAACCACCACAGCTGGCTCATGTCTGAGTCTGCCTCTCCCACCAAGCAGATAGTCAGCAACTTTGGCCAGGGGGCAGTTGCCGCTGGATTCCCCAGGGCCAGGCCGGGCCTCCCAGGGACCAAGCACTCCTTTCCCAAGAGCTGTCGAGCAGATGCCACTCCCCACCCTCCCCTGGCACCAGGTCACAGGAGGGCACGTCTGGATCTCACATCCTTGGATGCCTGAGCCTGTCCCTGAGGGCTGTGGGGGGCAGGGGAGCTGGGGACCTACAGGGATGGGTGTGCACCTGGGATGGGGGGCACCAGGATGAGGGCCCCGGGACCTTGAATAGAGGAAGAGGGAGAGGCAAAGTGTCCCTGGACTGCGTGTAGGTGTGGATGTGGGCATCTCCAGGACAAAGGGCTGGCACCAGGGGCTTCCACAGTCAGCCTGCTCTGCCAGCTAGGCCCGCCTCTGCGCATGCACACCCAGGACAGGGCTGTGTCCTGGAGGACAGGTACTGATGCTGCTCTGAGCAACAGAGGGGAGCCTGACCCCCAGATGGCTTGGGGACTTCAGGACCCTGGCCAGGGCAGATGGCGGTAAGAAGGCACTTGGAGAAGCTTCTGGAACCAGGCACTCTTAACCCCCTGCTGATGAAGCAATGTCCAGGATGCAGGCCCTGGGGACTCCATGCACAGCGGAGATCCAGCATGCTCACGTGGCTTCCATCCAGGAGAAGGGAGGGGAGGGGAGGGGAGGGAGGCTGGGCGAAGCCATGGGCTTGAATTAGATGCATTTATTCTGTTCATTTCCAAACTAGCACTGTAACCCACCAGGCTGTTTACTAAGTGAAGGGACCTCAGCAGTCAGTGGGAAGTGGGCACATCTGAAGAATCAGGGAGTTCTAGATCTTTCTCCAAGTGGTGCAAAGATCAAGTGGAGCTGGGCCTGATCCCCCTTTACCAGTCCCAGAGGATCAGGGGGTGGGGAAGTCCAGCAGGGTAGGGCTAGGAGCCCCCCCTCCCCCTGCTGGGGTTGGAGGACCACACTGTGGTAGGCCTGGATGCAGGAAAAGGCAGTGGGTGGGATGCGGCGCCTATCGATGAGGTTGTTCTCCAGGTGCGTGGAGATGAGGTTGGAGTCCTGGGCCACTCGAATGTCACAAATGGACTTCAGGGCTATATGTCCGTGGAGTGGGGGTGGCAGGGCCGAGCAGAGGAGAGAAGACCCCAGCAAGGGGAAGCAGGCATCACATAAGAGTAGAGGAAGAACCCTGACTGGCATGGCTCAGTGGTTAGAGCAACAACCCCTGTGCTGAAGGGTCACAAGTTCGATTCCTGATCAAGGGCATGTACCTGGGTTGCAGGTTTGATTCCCAGCCCCATTGGGGGTGAGTGTGGGAGGCAACCAATTGATGTGTCTCTCTCACATCGATGTTTCTTTCTCTCTCTCTCTCTCTCTCTCTCTCTCTCCCCTTCTCTCCCTCCTCCCTTCCACTTTCTCTAAAAAAATTAATGGAAAAAATATATATCCTCAGGTGAGGAATAACAACAAAAAAAAGAGTAGAGGAAGAGAGAGCCCCATAGTAAGGGGCAATGCGATCATCGCACAGAGACCAGACCCAGGGCAGAGGGACAGGCAGGTGGCTCAGCCCTTGTTGCTCTGGACTGGCATTTTTCTGCCTTCTCCTTGCCCACCCCACCCAGATTCTGCTGTGTGCTGCCCTTCACCTTGGCCTTCCAGGCCTGAGAGCCACTGGGCACAGACTCCCATCACACCAACCAAGATAGGTGGATGGGGGCAGTGAAGGATTCTCCCACAGTTCCACCCTCAGCCTCAGAGGCCGCAGGTGAGGAGCTCACAGGCCAGACCTTCCTGGCCCACCTGGCAGGCAGGGCCTCATGGCCTCAGCCCCGGCTAGAGTGGGGAGTGGGGAGACAGCAGGACAGGCACAGGTGGACAGCCCTACCTGACCTTGTTGTGGCTCATACGCAGCACCTGCAGCTCCTTGAGGCCCAGGAGGCCTCGTGGGATGGCCTGTAGCTGATTGTGATCCAGCAACAGCTCTGCCAGAGAGGTATGCAGGCCCCAGAAGGACACGCTGTGGATGCCGTTGGCACGCAGGTTGTTGTGGGACAGGTGCAGAAACTTCAGGCCTGGCTTCATGTGTGCAAACACATAGCCCGGGATACGCTCAATGAGGTTGTGGTGCAGCATCAGGCGCCGGAGGCCCCTAGGCAGGAAGGAGGGTACGTGCACCAGTCCGTTGTGGGACAGGTCAAGGGTTTCCAGCTTCCTGTGGGGCGCATGGGTTGGAGGTGAGCTGATGGCGCCCAGCTGCAAGCACAAGAACAGCTGGAACCCAAATCATAGTCCCTGGTCCACACCCAAGAGGAGAGTGGCGATTTGCCCCCAGGCAGAAGACACAATCAGAGCTACACCTGACAAAGAAAGTACAAATGGAGGTGCTTGCGATCAGGGGAAAGAGCGAAGGAGCTGGGGGCAGTTGAGTTGTCACCTACCTTCCCTCTTTGCCCTTTCTTGGCCTCCCAGCCTCCTCTTGCTATCCCGACACTCTCTTGTCCTCTTCCTGCCTCACCCAAGCTAAGCAGAAGAGAGACCAGGAGGGAAAGAAAATGAGTCTTTCAGAGTCAAGGCCAGGGGACCCTGAGGGATCAGGGAGGCAGGCAGTGAAGCTCAGACCTCTATGGGCTCAGGTCACTCTATGCTGGGTGAGGATAAGGGCTGGTCTGGAAAAAACAGGAGCAGAGGGTGGTGATGCTTCTAGACTGGCTCAGAGCAGGGAAAGGGGCTTCTCTCTCAGTGATATACTCCAGTCCCAGTCAGTGGGGTCAGTCCTTTGGCCTTGGGGGCCATGCTGTCCTCAGCCCACAGGGCTGGGGGCTCAAGTGCCTCCTGAGCCTGCGGAGCCAGCAACCCCCACCCCTTCCACCATCCACAGAAAAACTGGGCGGTGCCAGCCCTGGCTTGATTGGCCGCCAGCTCCCCCCCCCCCCCCCCCCGCCCCATGGCGGGAGTGGAACAGCAGCTGGGTGGCTCCTCCCTAGGCTGCTGTCTGCTTTCCTTTGCCCCCTTGGCAAGAATGAGAGAGGAAAAAGGAATAATTAAACCCAAACATTCTGGTAAATTTTTCCTGGAACAGGAGGATGCAGGGCGGGAGGCTCTGATCCCTGCAATAGTAGGTCGGACTATCTGTCGACCCCTGTCTGTCTCTCCCACAGCCCTCCCGCTGATCCCGGGGCTATGTCCTGACTCCTTAGGCAGCAACTTTAAGGACTGGATCTCCTCCTGGACCCCTCCTGCCAGCACCCCCACCCAGCTGTCCAAGCCAGATTAGGGGGACTCATCCTGGAGCTTCCTATAGTGGGATGAATAGTGGCCCCCAAAAGATATGTCTGCCCAGAACAAGTAAATGTGACATTATTTGGCAAAAGGGTATTTGTACATGTAACAAAGTTAAGGATCTTGAGGTAAGATCATCCTGGATTACCCCGGTAGACCCCTAAGTAAAATGACAGGTATCCTAAGAGACAGAAGAAAGACAGACACAGAGGAGAAGCTACATGAAGACAGAGGCAGAGACTGGAGTGATGTGGCCATGAGCCAAGGAACACCTGGGCCTACCAGAAACTGGAAGAGGCAGAAAGGACCCTCCCCTAGAGCCTTTGAAGGGAGCATGGCCCTGCTGACACCTTGATTTTGGACCTCTGGCCTCTAGAACCATGAGAGAATCAATCTCTGTTGCTTTAAGTTGACCAGTTTGTGGTAGTTTGTTACAGCCACCCCAGGACTCTCATCCACTTCTCTTTCCCGTGCTCTACCATCTCGTCCATGACCCTTCCTTCCTCTGTTGCCTCTTAGCTAAACTCAGCACCAGGCCAGCTCTTACCCCCCGTGCTGCCCCCTCATCCAAGCCCACGGGACCTCTTAGGTGAGCTTCCTGGGTGCCTGTAGGGCAAGTCTAGGCATAGGCAAGGGAAGGGGTTTCTGTGGCCTTGGGGATTCTGCCAGGTGGGAGGCACAGGAAAATTTTGGAGGTGCAGGTGTTGGCTGAGGGCCCAGGTTACCCTGAGCTCTGGGTGGAGAGACGGGTGACTCAGGTGACTCACCTGAGACCAGGCCCAAGCTACAGGGCCACCCCCAGCCCTCTCTGCCTTTCCACCTAACTCTCTGGGTTCCTTTGGGCACATCTTCCCTCTATAGCCTCCAGGTGCCCATTGAGGTGAAGCTTGGGTGGTGCCAGGGCAGTGGTGGCACTCACGGGAGATCGATCCAAGCTCGGGGTGCCAGCCGGTCCTTCTGGAGCTGGTTGTTGCTGAGCACCAGCACCCTGAGGCTGTGGCTGCAGTTCAGCGTGCCCTCTGTCACCCCCTCGATGATGTTGGCACCCAGGTGCAGCTCCTAGGACCAAGGCTTGGGGGGAGGGGCTCACTCACTGGTGGCCTGGCCCTGCTCCCTGCCCCCTTCCTCCTCGTCCCATCTGTGGTCCTCAGGCGCCACAGTCTCTGCTCATCTCAGGGCTGTGGCCATCTGTGCAGAGGATCCAAGCGGCATCTGCCAGTGGTGCCATGGCTCCTCACGGCCTCACAAGACACAGCCCCAGAGGGTACTGCCAAGCACAAGGGGACCATGTGGCCCAGACAGGGCATAGACCTTGCTCAGGGATACCCGGTGTGTCTAGGAAGGTCCCTGAGGCCCAACTCTGGGCTTCTAGAAGGTTAGGTCAGGGAGAGGGAGGATTTGGCACTGAGGCCTTGTGGGTTTAACATCAACATTCCCCCATGGGCAGCTCTACTAGCCAGAGGCAGATTCTCTGGTCATTTGACCACGATATTGCGTCTCCTGGACTTGAGTCTCCTAGGTCACCTGCAGGGAGGCTGGCAGGCCAGGTGGGATGGTCCGCAGCCGGTTCTGGTCCAGCCTCAGGTACAGCAAGCTGCATAGGGGCTGGAAGGCCAGAGGGGAGATGTTCCCATCATGCAGCTTATTCCCTTCTACCTCTAGCGTCGGCAGCTGGCTTAGCACTGAAGGGTGGGTAGGCAGAAGAGCACCTGAGCCGACCACAGAGCTATGAAGGCCCACTGGGAGTTGCCTGCTGTAGATCCCTTAGAGGCCAGGGTCACTTTCCCAGACTGGTGGTCCCTCCTCTGCCCTCTAGCCAGGCTGCCCTGGGCAGACCCTTTCCTTGCCTGCAACTTTCCAAGGCCTCCCTGACTGCCCAGGCCTGACCCCTTTGGTCCCTGCGTGCACCCCGGAAGCTGCTGTGCTGTAGGCCCTGCAGGAGGCTGCTGTTGAGTTTGAGTTCCTGCAGAGGTGGGCGGGGCCGGCACGGTGGACAGCAAGGTTCCGTCCAGGTTCAGCCGCTTTAACTGTGTCAGATTTTGGAAGTGGGGTGGGGAAAGTAAAAGGGGCCGGGGGCTGGGGTGCTCGTGGGCCAGGACTAGACCTGCAGGACTAGGCCTCCTAGGTGAAGCTTTGAGCTTATCCCACCCAGGGAGTACCCCTAATGGATTACATCATGGCTTCTTAGTTTCCACTTAGGCCAGGCCTGTCTGGGGGTTTCCAGACCCCCCAACCCCCGAGTTTCTCCCAGGAGTGCTGCTCCCTCATGGAGCTCCACAATTTGGGCTGCTCTCCACACTCCCAGCTATGGACCGTGTCACCTCAAATCACCCAAGCTTGTCATGCTGGGCACTCTGTACGGTGCTTCCTCTAGGCCTTCTCTCCCAGGCAGGGTGGGCTGAGAAGTAATGGATGCCTGGGGCCACTTTGGACTGGTCCAGGCCCCTGGAGGAGCAGGTGGTGGGGCTGCTGTGCACCGTAAAGGCATGGGGGTGCAGGCCTCGGGCATCCAGCTTGTTCTTGCTCAGGTCCAGCCACTCCAGGTTAGGCAGCCCCAGGAATGTGTGGGCCAAGATCTTGGCAATTTTGTTCTCTGTGCACACACATGGGGAAGCCATATTCCATGTCTCCTTGTCCCCCTCCCCTCTGCTACTCTGTACCTCCCCCATTTGAGCTAGAGGCAGCAATGACACTCCTTGAAGGAGCTGGCTCTTATGGCTATCCTAGGTCTGGGATCTTCTCACTCCCAACCAGGACCCATGGGAATGTGAACTATTTCCAGGACACAATGGGGCGGCAGTCACAGTGGCTGAGGACCCACTAGCGGAGGAGCTTGGGTGTGTGGCCTTCTCACCCTTGCTTCAGGGGTGGGTGTGGGGAAGAAGGCCACTCACCTGCTAGGTAGAGTGTGGTCAGGTCAGGGTTGGTCAGGGCAGGGATGTGTTTCATCTTGATGTTGCCACAGGCGATGGCCGCCTGAGTCAGGAGGCATGAGGCTGGCAGGGAGGGCATGGCCTGCTCCATGGTACCTGGGTCTGCAGACCCTCTCTCATGCCCTTGCCTGCTGCCAGGCCTTTTCCGCCCAAGGCTTATGGTCTCTGAGGTCCTGCTGCCACCGCGGCCTCGACTGCAGTCCTTTTGATGCCAGCCCCCTGGGCCAGGTTGGCAGGAGGCCCCTGGAGGACAAGATGAGACGCAGCCCCAGCCAAGTCACATAGCAACAGGGGCCCGCCAAGGGGCAAGGCCTTGCCCGGGGCCCCTAGATTTGCCAGCAACTTGGCCAGCTGGGCTGGAACACCAGGCCACTGGACCTTCTTCCCTGGGCACCGAGGACAAAGGCCCAAATGGGGGCTCTGAGGGTGGGGAAAGGGTCGTGCCTTGGAGAGCTCCCCTCCTACCCCACAAACGAGGGTGCTAGTCTTGGGCATATTAAGAGTGGGGTGGGCTCTCAGTGGCTCGCAATGCTGGTGTGATTGGTAGAGCTTGGACCAAGGCTCGGCCTCTTCAGACTCACACACGCCCCGTCACCCCCACAGGTTCCATCTGGCGGCTGCCTGTCCCGGCCAGTCCTCACCTTTGAGGGGCCTTCTGGGCTTTAGGCCCCTTCTCCTGGCTTCCCAGCCTCCTGCCTTCCTGACCTGGCCTTCCTCAGCCACTGCCCCCTCTTGTGCTCAGGGGCCCTGCTGGTCTGCACGAGCCTGAGTTTGGCAGCCTGGGGCCTCGCTGCCTCAGCCCCCACTGCAGCCGTGGCCTGGAGTAGGGCCTGCTTGGAGCCGGGCCCCTTGTGACTCTGTTCTTGCTCCCAGGCTACTTGAGGTGACTCTTTCTTCTTGGCCAGCCCTGGCCTGGCAGGGGCCTTCCAGCTGGGGACTAGGGCTTGGGTGGGAGCTCCATGGGCCCCTTCCTCAGAGGTGGGCTGTGTCTGTGGCCAGTCCATCTGCCTGTCCTCAGGCCTGTCCCAGCCACCATTCATGGCGATGGATTGCACCTGACCTGCAGAAGGAGTCAGTTTGGGCTGGGGTGGCCAGGACCCCTGTATGACTGAGAGGCAACACCTCCTTCCACAGGCTGGACAGCCTCCTTCTTTCCCTCTTTGCCCAGGCCTCACTTCAGCCTTTCTGTTCTCTTCTCAGGAGCGCTCATCCTTTTGTCACAGACCCCCATGGCCACCAAGTGTCAGAGATTTCCTGGTATTCTTCCCACCTATCATGACCTCAGAGTAGGGGACCCCTAGCACCAGAGAGAGTCACCGCGCCTGCCTCTCAGAACTGAGGCAGCTCTTTACTGCTGGGACCCTTCATCCTGTTGGCACAAGGCACAGCTAGTCCCCTGGGGTGGGCACAGAAGAGCTTCAGTGGCCCTAGACAGAGGGCCTGGGCCTGCTACTATGCCTCCGGGTCCCTCTGGGTACTGCCTGGGCAGGGAGGGTAGGGATAGCCTCTGGAGAACTGAAGGGGTCGCTGCTACCTGGCAGTTTGCTTTCAGAGGCAGGAGCCCTAGTGCCTGCTGGGAGGGGAGGTTGTTGGGGGCGAGGCAAGCTCTGAGGCCACCTAAAGGGGCCACCATGGCTAAAGAGGGGCAATAGCCCTCAGGCCTCCCCTCCATTGTGTGGCAACATCCTTTAATCAGTACTGACCACCTCCCCTGCAGGTCCACCCCTGGCCCCTCCTGCCCCACCCCCAGGTCTGGGGATGGGCCACCAACCCCATTGGCATATGAGACCAAGAACACTATAGCTGGTTTCCTGGGGCCCCTTCTGCCACCCCATTCTAGCCCAGGTCCCCCATTTCCAGCCTCCCATGCTTCTCTCATTCTCCCCAGTAGGCCTAAGGCAGCTGCTCCCCAACCAGCAAATCCAGATCCATTCTTCCAGCCCCAGCTGCAGTGGCCCCTCCTGGGGGTGGGGACTCTGGCCTCCCCTGCTCCCACCCTAGGTGATGGGCACGAGGCTTCTTAGAGACTGCAATACCCACCTTGCCCTCCAGGAAGGGTTTGCCGAGGCCCATGGGCTCCTCCAAGGCCCCCCTCCAGCACCCAGGGTGGGCACCAGTGGGCAGCCTCGGGGTGACCAGCGTTCTCTCCTTCTGCGCCAGCCCCATGGGAGGTTCCACTAGTTGGGCAGGATGCTCCCCTCCTGCAGCCTCTTCCTGCTGGTGCCACCTACTCACCATCAGGAGGCCCAGGCAGGATGGGCAGCAGCAGTTGCAGGGTGGGCAAAGCCCATGGGGGTTGGTGGGGTCATGGGCTCTCTCAGGCTCTGCCCCTGCTTGGCCAGGGCCCCTGCAGGGCAGCACCCCACCCAAAGAGCCAGGACAGGGAGCAGCATGTTCTTCATGGCCACCGTGCGCGGGCCACGAAGGTTGCCTGGGTCAGCAGAGAGAATGAATAGCTGAAGAGGTGGGAGCGGCCGTCTCGGCAGGAAGGGACACACTCAGGATGGCACTCTCCCTGAGCTCCTGGCTTTGGCTGCAGTGCTTAGAGCCTCCCCACCCACCCTGGCCCTCCCCTAGGAAGCCCCCCTCTAAACAAGCACCTCCCCAGGCCTTGCCCCCCCACCCCCAACATCCCCTGCTCCCACCTGAGGAGAAAGAGAGATTGATTTTTTTCTTGGACCTGAGCACTCTTGCTCTTTTTCTGTAAGGCCTGCATTTATTCTCCACTGGCCCAAACCCAGTGGCCCCCATGAATGGGGCTTCTGTCTCCACACACAGCGGGCCTGTGAGGCCCACCACAGAGCAGGCTGCCCACTCGAGGCTGCCAGGTCCTACCTCCATGGCTAGGAAAAGAGAGGGGCCAGGCCTTGCAAGCAGCAGGCCCTAGGACCTCTTGGGTCCTCTTGAGAGGGGGCAGGTACCAGGGCTACCTGGGCAATGGCAGCTCTGACACTTTTGGAAACCTGTGGGCATCTGCTTCAGGTGCCAATGCTGAGGACTCCCAATTCCAGAGGAAACAGAACATGTGGGCAGAGCTGGGGTGGCAATTTGGACTCAGCCCTTGGGGCCCCATGCACAGCCCTGTCTCGGGATGGCGCTGGAGTACACAGCTGAGCTCCTGGTCCTTCTTTCTACCAGCTCCCTGCCTACTTCTGGGCAGTGCCCTTCCCTCCAGGCCTCTATATCTTCCTTCATAAAATGGAGGGGGTTATATGTACTGTGACCCCCTAGCTGTGCCCCTACCCCCACACTGGAGTGTGTGTGGACCAGGGACTGCCGGGCTCGTCAGGGACCCCTGGCCTGGGCAGCCTGACAGTGGCCTGAGCAAGGCCATCTCACAGGTACCCCCAGACTTCTTGACCAAGAGTCCCAGGTCCTAGTGTGACCACTGTCATCAGGCACTCCAGAGATGCCCCCACACCTCATACATGCCCTCTGGGTCAGAGGAGAACCTGTAGGTCAGGATGGGGCAAAGTGGAAAGGAGACCAGGCCGAGGGCAAGGGCAGCAGGGTAGAGCAAGAGGCAAAGAAGGGGGTGTCTGACCACAGGCCCTAGGCCAGCCCTCAGAAGGCCCCAATCCCAAGTCTGGCTATGGGAGCCAAGGGCGGGGGAGGGGTGCTGCTGGGCTCACCACGAGGCTTTTCAGGGCCAGCGTTGAGGAAGCTTTTCCTACAGCTCTGTCCAGTGTTGACTTATGTTTGGAAGCGATCTTAAAAGATGAGTTAATTGTGGGCAAGGCTTGGGTGAAGGAGTGGAGGAAGGGCAGAAGAGGAGCAGAGCTGGGAAGGCTCTGTAGGGAGGAAGCTTCCCATCACCACCTGGGGTTCAGGGTCTCTATCTGGGGCCACATGGGAGTGTGTGAGACCTGGGAGGGGTTGGGGGATGGTCAGCAAATGGGTCTTCGGTGGGCTCCTCAGCATCTGCCCACTTGGGTCTGGGTAGCTGCCAGCCATACAGCACACAGGGTGCAGCAGGGAAACCCTGTCCAGTCCAGGGCTCTGTTTTACAGACCGAATTTGGGACCATGTCCCACACAGACCAGAGACAGGGACTGTCTGGAGAGTGAGCATGAGCAAGCATCATGAGAGCCAGGGATGAAGCCACCATCTGCCTGTACGTCTATGGGTGACACAGGATGTCCTAGGCTGGCAGTCTGCTGAAGCTGGGGGAGGAGAGCACTTAGGCATGGGGGGCTTGAGGTGTGACTCGGGGACTAATCAAGGGATCCTGGAAGACAGCACTTCTCGCGCCCCCCCCCCCCCCACCTTCAGTACAGAGAAGGAACCAAGAGGGAGTCTGGCTCATCCAAGTCAGATGCCAGAGGCCAGGCCTCCAGCCTTCCCCTGAGGTGGGCCCTTGGAGACAACTCTGACCCTCCCCCTGCCTGGGGATGGATTCTGGAATCCTGCCCCCCAACCCATTTCCCCTGTTCGCTGCTCCCCAGGCGCTGACTAAACATCCTGCCATCTGGTTCCCATTAGCTGGGCTGGGGGTGGGGGGAAGCCCGCTCCCAGGTTTTTGGCAAAGTGGCCTAGAGAAGGGAGGGACCCTTGCTCCTATCCACCTAGGCAGGAAGGGGCGAGGCCTGGCTGCTCCCTTTCCCAGCTCCCGTGGAGCCCTGTCCTAGATGCCCTTCCCCTGCTGGGGGCCAGTGTCCACATGGACACCTACTTTGTCCAGTATCGGGGCACCCGGCCATCATGGGGACCTTGAAGGAACCCCACGGAGCAGAGCCAGCCTGCGAGGTCCTCCCGCGCCCGCCCCTCCTGCACATGAAACTCACTCGTGGACTTGGGCTGAGGCAGGCAGGGCCCGTGGCCAGTACAACCCTGAGCCGGTGTCTGGAGTGCAGGGTGGGAAAGTGTCGGCATTTTCCAGGAACCAGAGATGCAGCCTGGGCTTGCTGGAAAGTTTTGGGCTCCCAGCCTTCCCCGGACGGACAGGCCATTTGATGTCAGGAGTAAGCCTCCCTGTTCAGGGCCTCAGTCTTTTCATCTCAAGGTGGTGGACATGGGCTCTTTAGAAAGTTCTAGAATCTGAGAGCTGGAAGGGGCCTAGAGAAACTGCATTAACTGATCAAGGTCACTTCT